GAGAATAACTTGAAAAGAAATTGGGATTGTTTGGAAGTTAGACTCCTTTAATTACAAGACTTTTAAAAGAAGAGAGAGGGTATTTTGAAATCTTTTACGGGCATAATCGCGATCAATCAACAAGCATCTGAAACTGCTCGTATGAAAAGAGAATTGACTTAATTCCAAATGGTAGAAATAGATGACAAATCACAACTAAAGTGATTGCGCTTAGTGTCTATGAAATCTTTTGGGTTGGGGGTTCTTATGCTGAGCCTGTATGCATGCTCCCCCAGGTTATAGGTAGATGCCACTTATAAGCATTAGCTGTAATTGAGGTTTGCTCAAATTTTGCTTCATCCTTACTTCCTCCGTTTCATAATATGAGTCATTCTTGCATTTCCCACATTCATATTTATATTAATGAATCAGGATAGATATATATGTCTAGATTCATTAACATATCAATATAAATGTGAAAAATCATAAAATGACTTATATTGTGAAACGGAGGGAGTAATTTGTTTGTTCTCTCTTTTATGGGCGACGGGGATTGGGAGGACGTAGAACACTATAGAGTTGTCATGGTTGTGATGGATGCAGTGGAGAAGAATGATTAATTAGCTTTGTCAAATTTTATTATAATTTTCTATTTCGCCACAGTATTTTTTTTGTTAGTTCTTTTTTAATATAAATTATATATATGATACCATAGAGGGTCTTTTTCTTAATATAAAAAGGCGCAAAATGTTACCTAATTTGGCTCTTTTGGTTCTTTTCTTTCTGAACCTAATTTAATTTATGCTTCCATGCAGCATGCGTGCGTAAGGGTGGCCATGAGTAAGGGTTCTAATGATGTGCAAGATCTTAAAGTGATAATTTAGCCAAGGCGCCTCGGTCTACTTCCGTACATGCAATGGAAAGATTAACAAATTCATTATTGCACCTAGTGACCCTTAATAGATTAACTACTTTATGCTATGCTATTGTTCATCAAAAAGTCAAATGATTAACATAATGCACACTTTTAATTTGATGCATAGTCGACAGCAGTCTCACATGCTAAAACTATATATGAGTTCTTTTTTTATTTTAGGCAAATTTTACTACAAGACATCGTGATTTTACTGTTTTAGCCGTAGGACACCACGCAAAGTGACTTTTAGGGGAAGACTCTCTCAAAACTTAGATCACTCCCCAACCAAGCAACCAACCCACCGAACTAACTCCATACGTTCATCATTTTGTACGCGTATCTTAACAAATGGCTAGCTAGACCCTCTAAACTAAGTCTCTTCACTAGAAAAAGTCAGTCCTAATCAAAAATAGTCCTATATAAAGGTTCAGTCTCTATGCCCTATGTACCGTACTCCGTTGGTGGATACCGCACCCATCAAAATAAAAAAAATTTGGTTAAAAAGGAGAGAGAAACCACGTTAAAGTTTTGAAATGCCCTTGGACCACATGTCAGATATGCAATCTCTCTTCTCTCCCTATCCCCTCCTTCCACATTGCCATGGTCGGCACCCTTCGGCTCCTTGGTCGTCGCTGCGTCGATTGACCCGCTTAGAGGATAGTCACCTCACCCTCCTGCCCGAACCGCCCAGGGACCTCCACTACTGGCCACCGAATCTCCTTCGCGGCCGTTGCCATCCTCCACGTTCCCAAGCTCCTCGTCGGCTTCTCTGCCTGGAACGCCAGGTGCCCTCCCCTCTGTCGTCACGCCACCGGCCCCATCGTCCTCAACCCCGTCTAGACTCCCCTAGCTGCGTCGGTGCCGGCCACCACCACCGTGCGGCATCGCTCGCCTCTTCCCCGTTATCTCCTCTTGGATCCAGCGCTTTCCCTGCGGACCTCGTCGACATCGGCTTCACCGCCGACAGCCTTTCCTACGACTGTGCCGCCAGCTGGCTTTTTCCCATGGACCCCACTGCTTGGTGGCCCCTCCGCCTCCGCCGACCTCGTTGGGGATGGAGGGCTTCGTCGACTCCCGTCGGCATGTCTCCTATGTTGCCTCACTAGCATGCCTGGCTCCCCGACCCTCCGCTCCCTTGCCGGCCGAGAACGCATGGAATAGTGAGTAGATGCTACCCGCACACCTTGTACAGCCAGAACCCTCCTCTATGCTCGCCGCTTCCCGTTCGTCCATAGCCGACCTACGCATCTCCTTCCCTTGTCGCCGCCGCCCACGGTCGGCCACCGTCAAGCTTGCCATGTGCCTCACCTCACCTGTTCCTCCTGCGATCAGAGGAAGAGAAGAAGGGGAAAACGATGCGGGCCCCATGTGCCTGAGAAAGAGATAGAGAGATTACAGATCTGTCATGTAGGCCTAAGGGCATTTCAGAACTTTCACGTGAATTCTCTCTCCTCTTTAACTAAAAATTATTATTTTAATAGATGCGGTGTCCACCAGCAAATATTCAACTTTTGAGAGTGTCTTTCTCCAAAAGTAACTTCGCGCGGTGTCCTACAACTAAAATCGCGAAGTCACGATGCCCTTAGCAAAATTTGCCTTTATTTTACGGTCTCTACTAGCTATTCTATTCTATTCTGGTTCTAATTTACCAGTGTCTTGTTTGTTCTATAATTTTTTAGAAACATATTACAAACATATATGCTCACAACAGGCGCACACTCATCTCTACGAGCACACATATACTCATATCTATAAGCGCACACACATCCAAAAAATTGGATAATATATTTTGAGATTGACAAAATCATTATGAGTCTCGCTATCAATGGTATGTCGTCTACCACTGAAAAAATAATTAGTCGTAAATGGGAACATCCGTGCCAATATAAGATAAAAATGATATGATCTAAATCATTTAGTCGTCAAAATTTGTTCGCATGACGATTAAGTAGTATGATCCCCTTTTGTGTGTGTGCATCATATCGAGAGAAGATGAAAAGTATCGCAGTGCTACTCTTGGGGTGTTTAGATTTAAGGGTGTAAAGTTTTGGCGTGTCACATTGGATAATATATAAGGTATCACATAGGGTGTTCGGGCACTAATAAAAAAAACTAATTACAAAATTCATCGGTAAACCGCGAGACGAATTTATTAAACCTAATTAATCCATCATTAGCAAATGTTTAATGTAACACCATATTGTCAAATCATGGAGCAATTAGGTTCAAAAGATTCGTCTCGCAAATTAGTAACAATCTGTGCAATTAGTTATTTTTTAGACAATATTTAATACTTTATGTAGGTGTTCATTACGTGACATAAAATTTTTATCGTGGAATCTAAACATGCCCTTACTTTGAGTACAAAGGGAGCCTAGTCGTACGGTACTAGGAACCCGATTCCTATCTTGACAATGATTACAAGCCTTGCAGGCTTGAAAAAGAGAGTGTCAGACTTGACAAATGTTGCATCGATGCATTTTGAGATGATTAGTATCGAGTCTTGACTTGAGAGTACTCCCAGGTTGAGTTGTAGCTATATATACTTGTCTGTTGAGTTGAATGCACACATTTTAGATGATCAATTTAATTGCTCAACTAAAAGCACAAGAAGATATCCCACGCGATTGTTGCGGAAATATTCATATATATTATGACATTACGTGATACTCCATCCGAACTGATAATACTTATCGTTTTACATAAGAGTGAGGTCAAACTTTAGAATCTTTGATTATGAATCATTTTAAAAATATTTGTTTTTCAAATATGGTGACTACATGTATACATTGGTCTTTAAAAATACTTTAATAAAATCATATATTTGGAAACACTTTTATACATATTTGAAAAATAATGGTCAAAGTTGTTTTTTTTGAGACCGTGCCCTTATCCAAAACGATAACTATTATCAACCTGGGTGGAGTAGGATGGTTGAAACAAGAATAAATAAAACAGTTGTACTCCCTCCGTCCCAGAAAAAACTCAATCTAGTACTTCGATGTGATATATTCTAGTACAACGAATCTGGACAGGGCTCTAGATTATGTCCCATCAAAATACTAGGTTGAGTTTTTTTGGACGGTAGGAGTAATAAGTAGGATGAAATAGAATATTTTAAAACTAGTCATAGCATCCTTTTTACCAAATTTCAAAACTTTGCATCCATCGTCTCGCCACGACCACCCTCCCCCTTTTCCCCTTTTGCTTCAAGCCCGGTATTGAGGGTGTGAGCCGTTTCTGGCCACTATCGGGGAGGAGGAAGAGGGGTCATATGCTTGTACCCTCCGTCCTCTCGCCTCTCATTCCATGCCTTCGGTAGCCACGAGTGCCTCTCCGTCATGCTCCACGACAGCTGCAGCCAAGGCCATGCTACTTCGGCGACCCCTCTAGACCAATCCGCCTTCCTTGCTGGCGGCGGTGCTGGAGCTGGGGATGTCACCAGTGCCACAAGGAGGGTGGTGTGTTCGGACAATAGATGACGTGACCTGTGTCACGGTGTTGATGGCTTGGCGCTTAGATGTAACATAAAGACAGTGATGAGCTGGGCAAAGGTCACCGGTGCCTTAGGGAGGGTGGTGTGCTCTGGTAGTAGACGACATGACCTAGGTCGTGGCCTCCTCAGCTTCCTTCTTCATTGCCCGCCGCTCGGCCTCCTCGGAGGAAGATGACGACGAGTGAGACTGTGCTGGGGTTCATACGTCTGTCCATGCAAACGAAAGAAGAAAGAGGAGGAGAATAAGGGTGGGTGCCCACATGTGGTGCCCATAGTTTTTTTAATCTTTTCCCTTTTCACTTGTGGGTCCCACATATATTGTTAATTCCTCTAATAACTGGGCTACCACGTAGATGCCACATCATTGAAAACCACCCTCATAACAACCCATAGGGTTATTTTACACGGTTTTAATGGTTAGAGGGGTCGATGTAAACGTTTTTGCCGTTGAGAGATACAGAAAAAGATACGACCTGTATTTGAGAGGGAGTGAAATAAGACCTTTTCCTAAGAGACCTAACCAATGGACGATGGGCCTCCGAGAGTCCATCACGGCCCAAAATCTGCTCAGCCTGAGGTTCGTCGTGAAGAAGCTGAGCACCGTCGGCGGCTGCGCCTCCACCACCAGAGAGGAAGTCGAGCAGTTCACCCGTCCCCACTTTCCCCTTCCCCCTCCCGCGCGCGATGGCGTCCGCCGCCGACGAGGGCAACGCGGCGGCGCCCAGGGCCGCCGTCTCGCACGTCATCTTCGACATGGACGGCCTCCTGCTCGGTCTCTCCCTCTCCTCCGACGATTCGGTTTCATATGCGCATTCGATGGTTTCTTTCTTTGCTTTCTTGGTTGCTCCAATTTGGATGGAGTTGGGTGATGATGGATGGATTGGATGAATGGCGTGGTTGTTGCTGGTGGGTGCAGACACGGAGGGGTTCTACACGGAGGTGCAGGAGAAGATCCTGGCGAGGTACGGCAAGGTGTTCGACTGGTCGCTCAAGGCCAAGATGATGGGCAAGAAGGCCACCGAGTCGGCGCGCATCTTCGTCGACGAGTGCGGCCTCGACGGCCTCCTCACCCCGGAGCAGTTCCTCGAGGAGCGCGAGAGCATGCTCCAGGAGCTCTTCCCCTCCTGCGCCGTCTTGCCTGGTCAGGGTTTGCTCCTCTGTATCTATCTTCCCCTTCTTCTTCTTTTTCTTCAGGAGATGTCTGTCCTTTACTGTTTATTGCATTGTGAAAGCTTGGCAGCTATTCTTGCTTACAATGTCGGATATCGGCATGGTCATGTGGTCTCAAGATGCGACTTTGTTTTCTAGTAATTGCTATGGTAAAATGTTTGTAAAACCTATTAATATTTTTTTTGAGGAAATAATTTCTGAGTGTAGCTAGCACTGGCGCCTCTTCTTATCAGAGCAAGGATAATAGTAGAGCTCACTTTCTACTATTAGCCTATTTTAAAGCCAACATATATAATAGATTAGCTATAAGGTTGGCTACAATATTCTTCTCCTCTCTCTATCTCACTTATACATTTAATGTATTTGTCTTGAAGCTTGTGTTAAGCTAGCTCTTCTATGTAAAACCTATTAATATAAGCCTATAGTTTTAGTGTTTTTCCTAGAGAGTCCTATATGTATGGTTGATTATCAAACCTGAATAGTTTAGAGGTACTATTAATGCTCAAAGGTTTGGTTTGACTGTATACCTCTCGAAAACGACCATTACTTGTGGAAGGAGGAGCTACATTGCTAATTGAACTTGGTTTCATCAACTCCATAGGAATTATATATTTGGTACTGCTATTTGGTTTGGTCAGCAGGTTGCTAAGCAAAAATTAACAAAACCAGAGGAACTTGAACTGCGGAAGAGGTTCAAGTACATATAATCAGCTGTATTAGTTGCTTATCTATTTTGTGAATCTGGGAAACTGAAACATAGTAATCATTTTATTTCCACAAGGTACATCTCATGCTCATAGTTCCACAACACGGGATATTCAACTCCTTGAGTTTAATCAGGTTATCTGCTATTAGTAGTACTTGAACCTGCTATTACCAACTAATTTAGTACTAGTGTATGTTTTTTCACTGTGCTGGCTATGGAACGTCGACCATTTTCATTAAGATTAGGATAAGAAAAGGTTACAAAGTGGGAACCAACAACAAGATTGTTGGGTATCCACCAACACGTGTAGTATAGCATATGTAGTCATGTAGCATTCTGAAATTGTCTAATGTAATGAAGCCCTTTGTTGAAGAGGTTTGTTGTTACCTCCAGCATTGGAGGATCGGAGCAAAGGGAATCGGAGGGGGATTGGAGTGGAATTTTAGGAGTTGTTGTAGGTTGTTATCAGTTCATGACACTGTGACAGTGTAGGTAGGACTTGGAAACCATATATAGTGTTATTCGTTCTACCAATTATTCTGTTTGTATATGCTAGTCTAATTTATATGAATAATTTTATTACTGTAGTTGAGGACATTACTCCCTCTATCCCATAATATAAGGCATGGTCAAGCTTGACACGGTCTCCAAAACTAATTTTTGTCTTATAATTTCTCATATATTATAAGGATTATAGTAACAAAATTATAACCATATAAAAGTAAATTCAAATGTCAATTCAATGATATACTCCCTCTATCCCAAAATATAAGGCATGGTCAAACTTGGCACGGTTTCCAAAACTAATCTTTATCTTATAATTTCTCATATATTATAAGGTTTGTAGTAACAAAATTATAACTATATGAAAGAAAATTCAAATGTCAATCCAATGATATAATTTTTAGCAAGTAAAATTAAATTCATATTGTACTAAATGTTGGTCAAAATGTTTTGAAGGTGGAATCTTGAAATGCGTGGGCGCCTTATATTTTAGGATGGAGTAATTTTTAGCAAGTAAAATTCAATTCATACTGTACTAAATGTTGGTCAAAATGTTTTAAAGGTGGAATCTTGAAATACGTGGGCACCTTATATTATGGGATGGAGGGAGTACTATTTTGAATGCAATCAAAGATATTACTCTCAGTGTTTCTTGTTGAAACACATGGAAGTAGAAAATGGATCTCTTGACTTGATAGTAGGATGATGTAAAAGCATAATAAGGCATAATTAATTATGAAGTGAAGCATTATGATTCTTTTGTAAAAATAATGTTAATATTATATTTATTTTCCTTGTCCCATCAAGCTGTATATGTTTCCACACATGACCCTGAACATTTAGCCATGCTACTGAGGCCTGTTTTGGGAGCCTATAACAGGATGGTCCAGGGATTGTGAGCTTCCAAATTAGGCCTGAGGGTGGTGTGGTTTATTTGCTTTTGCTCATGAGTATAATATTAGATAATGAATTGTTCTGTTGCAGGAGTGCTACGTTTGATCCATCATCTCCATGCAAATGGAGTACCAATGGCTGTTGCAACAGGGTAATTTATCCATGATGACCAATATATTGCTCTGAGTCTTGTGCACTATGTTCCTGATGAACCCTGTGCCTTTCAAATTAGAATCACGTTTGATTCGTTCTTTCTTTATGTGGCTTCAGATCCCACAAACGTCATTTTGCCCTGAAGACGCAGAACCACAAGGAAATGTTTACACTGATGCACCATGTTGTGATGGGGGATGATCCAGATGTGAAGACTGGCAAGCCATCTCCTGATATATTTCTTGCCGCTATGAGGAGGTTTGAGGTATTGCTGTGTAAGAGCTATTTCCTTTCGAGTGTTCTGTGGATTAGACGTAATAATGTTATAATGTCACCTGATGAAATGGCACTGTGTATTGTTCAGGGCAATATAGAACCAAGTAACTGCTTGGTATTTGAAGACGCACCTTCTGGTGTTGCCGCAGCAAAAAATGCTGGAATGTAAGTGACCATTACATGTACATATCCTAAACAATTATGAGTATTGCATATTGATAATTTATTGGTTCTTTTGCAGGTATGCGGTGATGGTCCCAGATTCGAGGTTGGATGTTTCATATCACAAAGGAGCTGACCAAGTTCTCAGTTCCCTGCTGGATTTCAAACCTGGTGAATGGGGCTTGCCACCTTTTACAGATTAGACAAAAAAGTTTGAAGATTGGGAAGTTCCCATGAACAAATAAGGATGTCGAATGGAAACTTTAGAAGAATGGATTTTTTGGTAAAGAAAAAGGAGAAAAACTCTGGCCTTCATAGGCAGGCAGGCAGCCCTATTTCTTGATCAGCCCATTCGTAAAATTTAGAGAAATTTATCGCCCTACTTATATGAAATTTTATAACTATATACTATTTAGCAAGAAAGATTGTTAGGCTTAGTGACAAGCAAAACTATGAGCATTCTTGCTGCCTACTATTTTGTGGCAGCGAACTACGACATACTTCCTTTCAATAAAAAGAATCTCCATAGCTTGGTGTGTTCTTGAACCTTTTTTGTGCTTTGCTTTCCAGGGAAAAAGGTTAATATATTATGTAATATTTTTTAACAGATTACTTTTTTTTTTTGCTAATACTGTTTCGAACAGTTTTACGTTAAGCTGCTTTGATGGGCACTGCAGTGCTTTCCTCAGTTCAGTGGCTACCAGCTTCAAACTGCAATCAGCAAGGATAGGGTAAATGGCGCCCTGCCAAATCAATGTTCTTTTCAAACTTGTGAGAAATGCAGTTTAATTAATCATGGAATTATTTTGTATTTGGTTGAGGGGTATATCTTGTAAGTAGCTGAAATATTGGTCAGAGAACTAGCTGAAATTCAAACTTTATTTTTTTTGAGAAAAACAAATTCAAACTGAACACAACATTCTGAACCAACTTTTAGCAGACTTCAACAGAATAGTACTAGCGTATTGCTCGGTGAACGAAATGAACTCGTTTTGTTGACTTTATACTCCATTCCTATTTGTTTGTCGCTGTGGACTAATCTTGCTATAGCTTTGATCATAAATAAATTTTAGTTGGTTAATTTATGATGAACAAAAGCTTAATAGTTATGTTAGGATGCAATACACTTTAATTGAACGGCATCCTTTTAAGCATTTCTTTTTTAAAAAAAATATGAGTGGTTAATTTAAATATAAATTTCATTCGGTGACTAACATTTAGGAATCATTGAGTAATAATAAGACGAAAGATCCGAATGTACTCACTCCGTCCCATAAAAGACCAAGACAGTATTGAATGTGATATATCCTAATACAATGAATTCGGACATGCCTATGTCCAAATTCGTTGTAATAAGATGTCTCACATCCAACCCTAGATTTATATTTTGTATTGTAATAGGATGTGTCACATCCAGTCCTAATTTATTTTTTTTTGTCCTGTTTAGATTCTAACTTTTTTTTCTTCAAACTTCCAACTTTTCCGTCACATCGAACTTTTCTACACACAAAATTTCAATTTTTTCATCGCATCGTTTTAATATCTTCAAACTTCTAATTTTAACGTGGAATCAAACACAGCCAGTATCAGGAAATCGAAGATTCTGAATTAGAGTCAAGTACATTCGGTGAGGCATGCTAATTAATCCACGATATGGCTGATTGTTGCGACTATTTATTGGGTCATTTTAATGCCAGCAAGGTGCCAATGGCCACACGACACTACAAGCAGTGATTGATTTGAGGGGAGACAGGGAGGCATAACCTACCAAACAAGACAATTAATTACTTCCTTCGTCTACAATACTTTATACTAGCATGCATTAAGGTTAGGAAAAAAAACTATAATATTTCTTATTGAATACTCCCTCCTTTTCTCATATTGATCATCGTATAATGAAATTCAAAATTTCTCAAATTGATCATCATATAATCGCATAGATATGGATTTCATCATAATACAATTATTGTAGCATGGAAGAATGTGTGCATGCTAAGATGTAATTGGCATGGCGTTTTAATCAATACATACATTGTGTGAGAATATGTGCATGATGTCTTGATTGATGTAATTTAGATTATCCTTAGTATTGGTGTATAAACATATGTGATGATCAATTTGAAAAGGAGAGAGTAAGAGCATCTCCAACAGCCAATCTATCTCCCTCTCCAAGTTAAAATTTGGCAATTTTAGACGAAAAACACGCTCCAACAGACTTGCCAACCGGATGGTCAAGCCGGACCATCCGGCTGGCCAAACGCCCCCTCGCGCTAGCCAACTTTGGCAAGCCAAACTTGCCTCTCCAATGGTAGGCCCCACGCCGTTTTACCCTCTCCCGAAGCCGAGATGACATGGACGAGGACTATCTCCGCCAAGCACGACGGGCGCGGCGCCTCTCCGCTCTCATATATAGTTAGATGTAAAGTAACATTTTTTTTGGAATAACTTTTAAATGTTAGAAAAATATGTATTGTGAGACGGATGAAGTATGAGTTGGTTCCGCAGGCTCTGAACTCACAAGTTACTCCTTGCAAGAATTTCTGATGCCTCTTCACGATGTAGGAAGACCTAAAACCGATAAATACAAAAAGAATGACCTGAAACCGAGAAATATAAAAGGATGATGTCTTAAGCTCTTGTCAGCTTAAGGGCTCTTCGGAGCCAAGGATTTTTTTTTTCGGAATTTTGAAATTCTGTGGAAAATTTTCCTTTGGAGCCATTTGGATTGTAGGAATGTATTCTAAAATTTCTATAGGATTTCTTCCATTTGTCCGCTTTTTGAAGGATTCCAAACATTTGATCAAACCTCATATTTTCAGTTTTCTTTAGTCCAAGACAAATGCTTCATCATCTCTCCTCTTTTATCTATTCTAATCAAGTGTTTCATTTAAAATTCCTATGGAGTAACCAAACATCTCTTTTACTAAATTCATGTGTTCCTATTTCCTATAGAATTGAGCTAGGCATGACACTCTATTCCTGCATTTCTCCTGTTCCCTATGTTTTTAAGATCAAAGGAGCCAAAAGGTCTAGTTGTTTAGCCTTCTCTGGACGATCGAAGTTCAAGTTTAGTTTGTGAAAGTTCGCCTTGGCAAAGAGCCTCCCTAGTTGGGCCTCAAACATTATCATGAACAAGGATATATGATTTCTCATGTATAATTAAATCCCTCTTGGAGACATCATCTACAATTATTAGCATCACACTATCACAGGCATATTGCCAAAATTGTCCTCATATTATACATATAAATCATACTATAATACACAGTCGAAAAAACCTCTTATGGAACTCAAGAAAGATAAAAGAAAGGGAAAAAAAAAGAAAAGAGAGAAGAAAAAAAAATGCTGAGCTACTAAAAGCATTTCATCTTGGTCATGTGTCAATATTCTTCCAGCAATATTGCTCCTTGAAGGAACTTCTGTACTACTATATATGAACGAATGTTGTGCCTCATGAATACAGGCGTTTTTGGTGTGCTGAAAATCACCTCTTACCACACATCTCTCAGATACCTACCCTCCGTTTGGAGGCTCTTCACAAAGCTCTCAGCCTTAGAGCTGTCAAGTGATCCCTGTAACGCAAAAAACCGTCATCAATTTATGCCAGAAATATACTGACGGACAGAATGAAACAAATTTTATCAGCAAGTGTGTAATGGCTGTGAGAAAAATACCTGTTCCTGTACAATGGTGTGGAGAACTCTATGTACATCTCTGGCCATGCCTTTGGCATCACCACAGACGTAAATGTAACCACCCTGGGAGATCATGTCCCAGATTTCGGAAGCCTGGACAGACAAAGGTAGGAAATATGAGCAACGCTGAACAAAAACATGAATTTGCAGATCAACAAACATGTATGAAAATGTCAAGTAGTTCAATTACTTTCTGCGACATTTTGTGCTGCACGTATTCCTTCGTAGGGCCCTCACGAGAGAAGGCGAGAACCAGCTCGGACAATGCTCCTTCCTCAAGGAAAGTGTTCAGCTCATCCTCATAGATGAAGTCCTGCAAAGTTTATAATATGTCAGCTACATTAAAGAACCCTCTAGTGTTTTAAGGATATTAATGTTATGCAGTGTGTCTATTTGGTGCGTACCATCTTGCTGTTTCTGCATCCAAAGAAGAATACGGAGCGACCAAGCTCAGCTCCTGATTGTTTTTGAGACAGCCTCTCCTGATATCATGAATGCATTTATATATTAGTTACTTCTCATAATAAATATCAGTAGTGATGTAAAATTATCATTGAACAGCAAGAAACCTGCAAGAATCCGCGGAAAGGAGCAAGACCAGTTCCTGGGCCAATCATGATAACCGGTACTGAAGGATCAGCAGGCAGTTTGAAGTTTGATTGTCTCACAAAAACTGGAGCCCAGCTGCAGTCCTTTGTCTCTTCTGATGGAATAGCATTCTGCGAAATTGAATAGTGATAGAGAAATATCAGAAGACATGTTTATGGTCTGAGGGATTTACTGTCAACTCAGGTGTTTCAATTCAACGTTGCAGCAAGGGTTCTGTACTTTGCAGGATACTTAGAACTTCAGATGATATATAGGTAAATAATCCGACCTAGAATACTCAATAGGGGTTGATATGACGTTGATTAGTTACCTTAATCCATGTTGAGCAGACTCCCTTATGTACCCTTCCAGCAGGTGTTTTTTCATGGACAAGTGCACATGTAACATGAATTCTGGTAGGTGCCATGCTGATGGAAGAAGGAAATGCATGTCAATAAAAAGGTAAGGAACAATTTTAAAATGAGGAAGAAAAAGCATAAGTAGGATATTTTACCTAGGTGAAGATGAAATTGAGTAGTATCTCGGCTGAAGACGAGGAGCAACGGCTGCAAAGAAGACTCCTAGTGGAGGCTTTGCTGAAGGGAACTCTGCCATCACTTCTAATAGACTTCTTTGACTCGCAACAACCCATTGAGCATACTCATCCTGAATCATGAAAAGCATGATATTAAGATTTTCGATTATTGTATTCCATAGGATGATGAAAGCGTGAGCAGATATCTGAAAGAAAAAAGAACTGACCTTTCCAGCAGGAGAGGCCAAGAACCTCAGACGATCAGCTTCAGTAGAATCTGAAGCATAAGTAGCTAATGCAACCAAAGCACTCTGCAAAACATACACACATTAGAAATCAGAGAAACAATAGTCAACAGTTGTGGAACTCGTAGTATATTGAACTACTGAAATGCTCACCTTCTTCGGCGAATTCAGAAGATCCGCATATCTAGCAAGCGCATTCCTCACAGTAATCGGGGAAGGGAATGGAGGAGCCAGAGAACCACCACCTAGTGGTGTACCGTCCTCTTTGTCTGCATGGATGGTGAAAAAAGCCTCTGGGGAGTAGCCTAACAACCTCTCTGCCTCCTCTACAACCTCGAGGCAGTTCTCTGTGTATACACCAACATGGTCACCGGTTTCATACCTGATAAGAAGCATGGAGAAACATGTTAGAATAAATGAAGAAAAGGATATGGACTGGAATTTTGATGTACTTAATTTTGTTGCCAAGGCCTGATATTTGTC